AAAAAAATATTAAAATTAAAAAAAAAAAACCTAGTTCATTACTGACTGTCTTGAAACTATCTGTGTTCCCTGACTTTATCTCAATGCCTCCCCTACAAGAGGCAAGCACCATCCTCAATTTTGTGTACATAATTCCCTTGCTTTAAAAAAGGTTTTTAACACAGGTATATATCTTTAAAGAAAATATTATATATTTTTGCTTGTCCAATCAATTCCAAAGCCTTATCGCTTTCTTACCCCACAACTATAGACCCTAGTTTCCTATTTCATAGACTACTTTTCATTCTCCAAACATGTTAGATACTTTTTTCCTTTTTCACCTTTCAAATGCCCTCTTCTTCAATCTCTGTCTGTCCAAATCTGTCCAATTTCTTGCATGATAGAGCTTAAATATTTCCTTCCTATAAGATATTTTATCTTACTTTTTTGGTGTTAATATCTCCCATTCTATGTTCCTTAGCAGTTTAAAGCTATATTATTTTTAAACACTTATTTTACTCTGTTCTAAATCATAATTTCTTGCTGAGTGAAGAGGAAATGGGAAAGCTAAAAGGTGGGAACTCTATTTCCCTGTTTATATCCCCTTCACTATCCTCAATTAGTAAAGTCTAAATAACATTCTAGCCTGGACTCAAATGTTCTACAGGGATCTTGTCAAGTCTTACAGCCACATTTGGGTTACAGCATTAAACAGTGAGCAGTGCTCACCCGGGGTTTTAGTAAGGGCAAGCAGAGAAAAGGCCCAATGCAGAAGAGGATTCTCAGGCAAAGCAAACTGAGGCTAAATTCCACACACTCTTCCATGTGACTTGAGGTTCTCCATTCACTGCAAAGCTTAGAGGATAAGATTTGATCTTCTCAAGGGACAGGTCTTTTTTCAAAAAGTTGAGTGTATATCTATGTGCCAAACTTGACTGTAAGAACTTTGAAGAAAGTAATCAAGCTGAATCTATCTTTGAATCCTTTCACAACTTACAGTATTTATATTGATCGAATGTTTGCTAAATTTTTTGGATGTTAAAATATCAGATGAGTAACAAAGTACAAATTCAAATAAAAGTTCTTCAGTGGCCGTTCATATAAAAGACTTTAACTCTCTCTCACTCCTATGTACTGTATGCCGCTTACCCGAGAGGTATCCACTCATGCTTTTGTCAAGACTATTAAATTTTTGCCGATATTTTAATCTTGAAGG